ACGGCCACGGATACGGCGATTTTCCAAACAATATATTATATATTTCTTTTTTTTTCGCATTCTTTCGCATTTTTCACAGATGCAATTATTATTATTCGGTCTATTTTCAACTAACCAAAATACGAATGAAGTATATAAATAAAGAGACTGTCATTTCAATGTGCACTTCGTAGCTCTACGTCATGGACCGAGCACAAAACTAGGTCGGAATAATCTAGTCCATTTGCGGAGATAGCAAATATCACGATAAACCGGATAGGCTGATCAGAATATATTTTAGTTAATAAAAATATGAATGCATTTCGAATGCAAAGTGGACTTTGTGCTGGTTGTATTATATTTTGTTTTTAAAATTTTAAATCAGTTTTAATATTCTAGATTTAACGGAGAAACTTTATACTAGTTTAGGCTTCATTTACTGTAACAAATAATACAGTATTTTGGTTAGGGTTAAAATCATATATTTAACTAAATGTTATTATATTTATTATTAGATGATATGTAATTTATTAAGATTTAATGTCGTAAATATCTTTAATTGACTGGTTTGCGCGGTTGCTAAGCTATCGGCTTCAGCGTCGTGGGTCGTGGGTTCAAAGCCCACACGGGGCAAGTGCTTGTGTGACCCAGAGATAATTGTTCCGGATCTGGGCGCCTGTTTCCCAAGGAGGATTGACTGACGTCAGACGGCAGGCGGCCGGTCGTAAAAATATAGCCAAAACCGCTTACAACAAACAGTATTTACGTGTTGCGCCGATCCCACTACCTATGGGGGCTATGGGCAGGATGATGACTTTAATAATAATTAATAACGATTTCTAATATTTACGAATAATATACGAGATTAAATTATGGTTTCGTCATTATGCCTGCACATTAGACACGATTAAACACTTAAAAAAACCATTTAATTATTTACTAATTTGAAGAATTGTAGAAATTGGGAAAAACTGAAGTCAGTCAGCGGATATTCCTTAGATTGACAATCCTTACTAATGATATCCACCTTACTAAATATAAGCGTTTTCTTAATTTATGATAATTAGTATTTTTTATGTGATAAGGTGGCAAGCGAGCTGGTTATTCACCTAATCTAATTACAACAGCCGTAGAGTTGCAGATGCGTTGCCACCTTTTAACAAAGTGAGCCCCTGCTACCTCACTAACTAGACGAAAGCCAGAGGTATAACACTTCTACTTCATGCCGGTCTTCTGTGTGGTCGTGGTACTTACCCTGACGGACCATTCGTCCAACAGCGAAGACTTTCGTGGCCCTACCACAGTTAATGTACTATAACTTATGTATAAGTTACTAATACGCTACACTTAATTATTGAGGATGATGTCGTTTGGAATCCATTGATGGTCTTAATTAAGAAATACGCAATAAATGATATCACTAAGTTCAATTTGTAGTCTACTTTATTGGTAAATTCTTCTAAATTGTAATAAAGAGGTCATACATAATTATACGAGTTCTGAACTCTTTAGTTCCTTTCGACGGCATGGCATAAAATAAAACAATGATTTCTCCTTGAAACTTAATATCAAAGCTTTTATTACGCCGTGAGAAAATATTACAAAAATTAAAGACGCTTAAACGCGACGCGATAAAAAAAGTGTTAATGAATTTGATTTATTTGTTCTTGACGGGGAGATTGTCGAGATTAATTTTGTGTTACTTTCTCAGAAATCGTATGATTAATTTCGTATCGTGTTTTCGATAGATTCATAGCCATTACTTTCATAGATTGGAGACGAAACTTGATATTAACATTTTATAATATTGTGATAGAGTTATTTTGTTCTATCTTTATGTAGTAAATTACACGTAGAAGTATCTTGTTACAAATTGAAAAATACGTCACTAATATAATTGTTTATGTGCACATGATCGAATTTAGGCGATATTTAATTGTCAATAATATTAGTAAAATGTTTCACGCGATTGAAATTGAACTCATAATAAAATTGACACGCTTGTATTTGCTTCACCTGTATAAAACTGTCTAAGTTATTTTATATACTTGACATAAGTACATATTAATATACAGTGCAAGAAAATTTGTCATTTATCGCTAATGATTTGTATGGAGTTGATTTGGAGTGGGGGAGGTAAGCCCCAATGACCACCGCGACCTAGAAGATCTACGTGAAAAAAAAAATACTGCCAAGTGCCAGTCGGACTCGCGCATGTAAGAGTCCCGTACCATTATCTATAAAACGGCAAAAAAAATCATGTCTGTTGTATGGGATATAGCCCATTTGAAATATTTTATTCTGTTTTTTAGGTATTTGTTGCTACAAAGCCATCAGAAATACATTATCTGTGAAAATTTCAACTGCTTAACTATCACGGTCATGAACCGATACAGCCAGGTGATTTACGGCCAGACAAACAGACAAAGAGACAAACAGACAGACAAACTGACAGCGTAGTCTTAGTAAATGGGTGCAGTTTTACCCTTTGTACAGAACCCTAAAAACGATGAAACAAAAATGCAGTAATTGTAGATTTTAAAAAGCGGATGAAACCGCTCGCTTCTGGTTCCGCGCGGCAGCTTAAATAGTTCCTTAAATAAACCCCTGTTTTGTTCTACTTCGGTTTCAGCTTCTGAAATGAGATAAAACAGGTTCATGGAGTTTAATGAGTAACAGCTTTAAAGTAAGTAAACTTTGTGTTCTTCGCTTCTTCGGCAATTTGCTCCGTTAACAAATAAACAGCCTATGCGTGAAAAGTAAATTCGGACCGGATCACGTTAAGTTGTGCTTAATCGCCAAGTTGAAACTTAACTCTAAATTTCTTTTCCGCGATAACTTACAAATAGAACTACCAGATTTTTTCTTTTCTTTAAACTTTTACTTTTCGTTTATCAGTTATGGAGTTTGCGTATATTTTTTAAGTATGAACAAAATCCATTACTGGTCTTTCTAGTCTTAATCGTTTTTTATTATTGTCTTGATGCTTTTAAAATAACGTCTATAATTTTCATTAACAAAAACATGATAGAATATTAATTACTCGAACACTGACCGAATCATTTTCGAAACGTCTTCAACAAAATTTCACTTACATATTTACAGTTATTAATGTGTACGCTAGGGTCGTGCTAAACATTCTGCATAGATTAATAAATTAGATAAGACTGATAAATTAAAAATGTTGTTTAATTATGATAAATTCATTTTTGATTGCAGGAAAATGTCATGTCATTCTGAAAACAACACTTTACCTCATCTATTACTTAACACCAACGATTCGAATACCTCTTGCTTCCTTAAATAGAGAGATACCTTATTAATTACAATGTTAAATAATTATAATATTAATTATAATTAGAATATAGTTCAAATTGGAATTGTAGAGACACCTTTGATACTTTTTTGTGCGTGGTAGGGTCACGCAACAGTCTTTGGCTGCTGCCCGAATGGTCCATCCGGCTAAGTACCACAAGAGATAACGGTATACGTCTGCGTTTCGTCTGGTGAGTGAGGTAGCCGGGCTCCACTTTATTAAAAAGTGGCGAAGCATGTGCAACTCTACGGGCGTTGCAAATTTCTATGGGCAACGATTATCACTTAACACGAGGAGAATCGCCAGCTCGCTTGCAACCTTCTCACAAAAAAGTTATGGTAAAGTATACAGAAGTCTAATCTCATAATACACTATATTGTTATGTACGTATATATATTGTACGATTGTATACATATTGTATTATATGATTGTATACATATTGTACGCGTAACAATATACGTACGTCTATTGTAGGTCTATTGTATACAATAGACATACAATAGACGAACCGATTGGTGTAGTGGGTAGTGACCCAGCCTCTTGTGCGAGAGGGTGTAGGTTCGATCCCCACTATTGTGGGGAAAAATTGTAAAACACTACGTTTTCCCAGTGTCCGAGTAGTTTATATATTTATAATACGTATTTATTTACAAAAGAAAAGTATTTTTGAGTATGTTTATCTGTTATCTAGTACCCATAGTACAAGCGTAGTAGTAGTTTGTGACTAGAAAACCTTGTGTAAAAATGTGTCCTGAAATATTTTTTTATTATGATATTAGCATTTATAGTAACAATTATTGCGCCGTGCGTTATAGTACACTTATCGCAAAAACCGAACGTTACACCGGTCAAAGTAAAGCAAATATGTACCTCATAAATGCAGGTACAATATAAATTGAATTTTAAAAAGTGTATTTGGCTGAGCGTAAAGCAACACGACTTCATCCATATGAAGTGTTTCAGATTTTAATTTAAAACGATCCGTTGCATAAAACGCATATGGTTTTTTACCACCCGCTGTTTCAGTTGTTCGGTTATCTTTATGGTTAACTGCCACTACCGAGTCATGTCGGTTAATGAAAGAAAAATATAATGCATTCAATTGATGTCCTCCTGGTAGTTGCTACTTAAAAATAACTCTGTGGGCTATATAGCCCACAGAGTAGAATAAGAAAAAGAGAAGTTATATATATAACACCTGAGTCGTACTTAAACAATCTGAATACACGGTTTATCGACCGTAAACAATACCAAAGCTAAAGGATCAAGAACTAAGCATCGTTATTTAGACATCTAATACCAAGAAAACAGTATTAGCATAAAAAGTGTTGTCGAAGCAAAATTGTCATAAATAATGCTGTATTACATTCTTATTTCAAACTTGAATGACAACTAACTTCCACTTCCAACTTTGGGTAGCCAATAAATGATCAAGGATAGGCGAGAAGAGGTGTAATTAAAAAAATGTTTCGATGAACCAGAAAAGCGCGCGAGCATTAAGTGTATCAATCACGTGCAGCGACGCGCATCTCTATGAAACGGGGCGATTATGCTACAAAATGTCAAAAAGCAAAAGCACGTAGCCGTAGGGGCGGCGACCGCGGCCCGCGAGGGTGGCGGGGAGGGGGAAGCGTTGAACGCCAGTATCTCGCCGACCGTCGGGCCGCGAGCACGGCTTGTGATGCGCCGCGCGTTCTGACGCGAGATGGCATCGTCCGCAAGCGGCAACATCGTCGTCGAGTGGCTGCGTACGCTCCATCTCGGGCAGTACGCGGAGAGTTTCATCGACAACGGCTACGACGACTTGGAGATATGCAAGCAGGTCGGGGAGCCGGACCTCGACGCGATCGGTGTACTGAACCCGGCGCACAGGCAGCGGTTACTGCACTCTGTGCGAAGCTTGAGAGAGGAGGGAGCGGCGGCGGTCTACTTCACTCTGGAGGAGGCGGCCGCCGCCAGGGACCCTTGCCGCTGCGAGGAGGAAGTTCGCAAGGAGCAGGCCACGGCTACCGTGGAGCCGGCGAAGTACGTGGACGAGTACGAGGAGGGGAAAGCGGAGCTGGTGAAGATACCGCGCATACAGCTGAAGCGGCTACTGAGGGAGCGGCTCGCTCAAGACGGCATCCGGCTCAGCCTGCAGCCCTATTCGACAACGGTCAGTGTCAACAGAGCCCGGGTAGGGCCTCTCGCGCGGTTTTGTGCAAGTGAACTTTGAGGGTTGGTGTTGTGTAAATGTTCTGTATGACGTAGAGGCCCTGCCCGCGCCGTTTTACTAACGAGCCCGTGTGTGGCACGGCCGTCTTCGGGCGCTCCGTTCGGATCGCTCCTCGGGACGTGTTGCCATAAAGTTTGTTGCGTGCGTGATTTCCCCCGAGATGAGTTCGCGCGCGCCTTCCTGTCGTGAGGAGATTGTAATCGCGTGCCTCTTGCCTCTAAATTGGGTTCCGCGATAAATCGTATTGCCTGTTTAAGCTCCCTGAGGCGTTAATTAGTAGTACGAATTGTTCGGACACGAAACGAATATCTCAATCTCGGGGATAATTACCTACGCAGATCTGTAACAAACGCGACATTGCACATGTACGATAAACCTATTTATTTTAATTCGATAAACCTTAATCGAGCTATCAGTAGAGCTAGCCGGTTAAAATTAAAAACGAAAAACGCTACAGAATCGAAATGTATACGAACCGGCGATGTCAAAGAATAAACACGTTGATTGCGTTTACTCAACTTCGATTGACGCGACAATGCGATGTCTTGTTTGTGTCCTATTTTGGAATACGACAGTTGTCTACCCGTATAAAAAATATACTTTCATATCGATGATGTCGTATGCTTCAGTAAACGACACATTTTTAAAGGAAAAAAATATATAACTTAAATAGTTTTTTGAGACCTGAGTGACTAATATAAACTTCAACGCTAAAATGCGTGTTTCGTTTGTTTCCGCAGAAGGGCGGAAGCACTCGGTTGATGATTTAATTGTGGTGTTATTAATTATTAGACTGGGTTGTGATTAAGGGGGCGGAATATTGCGCCGAGGTTACGCCCTCGCGCTTCGTGTAAATCGCTCACAAAATTCGTCAGTTCTACGAGTAAAGTATGATCTCATAACACAGTGTTATCGTACAAACATACGCACCTTATCACGACCGGTAAATAAATCGAAATCTATACATTACCGGCACGTACCGACTAGGCGAAAGTTATCAAGTTTCACGTACATGAATAATGTTTGCGTTTACGTCATATATTTTGTATAATATAAACAATTATTAAACTTCGTTTAGAAACTTTATATGTAAATGAATTTATTAATACTGCGATAAATTTTAAAATAATTATAAAGTTGTAATAAATATATAAATAGACACATTGATAATTAAGTTGAACTATATGAAAAAATAGCTTTTACTAAAAATTTGTTGCACTTTCAACGGTGATTAACAGAAACAAGAAGCATGGCCCTACTAAACTACGTTACGATATTTCTGTGAAATATGCCGTTTGCGTTCATTTCAACAATTGCTTCCTAGGTAGAGGCAACAAACTACACAGTCAGCCTTCCGCGTATTTCTTACTTTTTACTACTTAACCGCTTCCAGAATTTCTTTGTTTCCAACGTCGAACAATGCACAGTTCCTAATAATTTCGCTAACAAGAGGTTGGGAAATAGCAGGCCACAATGGACATTTACATTGTAACCTGTACTTCTAACGTTTTAGAAAATAAATAAAACATGAGGCCTTGTTTTTATGTTGCGAAGGAAGTTTTTAAGAGGTCTGCAAGGAATGAGCATGAAAAATTAGCAGTGTAAAAAACCCAGAAAGCTGTTATTAATTTCTTTTGCCTTTTCAATCCGAGACAGTGGGTCGTTTGTAAATCGGTAAATTTCGAATTTTATGTTTCGACATTAATCTAATGTAGTTTTGATTACGCGTTAAATAGTAATATTATATCTCTATCAAAACGCTATAAGGCTAACGTAATTGGCCGCGATCATTTTTACCGGTTTTTGGGCGACGCGTCGAAACCTGTTCGATTGGACTGCTCCAAGAATCCAATGGCCATAGGCGCTTACAACAAAAACCCTTAAGAAGACCGCTAGAGCTCGCAGCCTTTATCGCGACTCTCCTTTTTTATTTTTTATTATATGGTGTGACAGGAACGCGACATTGCAATCGGCCTTTTTCTTTTAAATGCTGTTAAACTTCGCATTGAATTATAATAGGCAATACTTTTTTTTAAGATTCTCAAAACAACGATCAAAACGAATAAGTCTTTTGGCCGTTCTCAATATTCAATAAATAAATAAAATAAAATCTCAATATTCATCTATCTTTATATTTGGTTGCTAGCGATAGTTATTTGACATTAGCTCGATAATACTTACGTCAAAATTTTATATCCGGTAACTAAATCTACAGATAGACAGGTTATTGAAGACGGGCGTTAAATGCTTTTTTATTTATTTCAAATACTAAATAGGCGCTAATAACGAGGCTCGCATACTAATAAATTCCTGCAGTGTCACAGTCATTTGTCATCCCTACGTGATCAATGCGTCGACTGGATGCATGTGGCATTCCGTTGATCCGATTTTGAAGCAAAAAGTGCCGTTAGACACACGCCTTTGTGCCGGGGTGCGCCCTTTGTGTTCCAATTAACACCGGATATACGGCGCGTCGTGGTAAGTTACCTAAATGCCATCCAAATCATTAGATATTGACGCAATTACATTATTTAAAAAATACCACCCTTTGGTTTTGATTTTAAATTATCTACCCTAGGAAATTATGAAAACATAATATTAAACTAACTTAGGGAATATTGGGTTGCGTCTACATTAAAAAATTGACCATAACAAGAAATATAGGATTTATTATTTCAGTTACGTTTTCTGAAAAGCTCGTTTAAAATAACGAAATTGTTTTTTGAAAAAGAAAAGAAACGCCAGACAGAAAATAATTACTAACAAATGTATTCGAAACTTTTATGAATAATATCTCAATAAGTTTAAGTATAAAGCAAAAAAAAAAAAACAACAGAATTAAGACAAAGGCTCTTTTAAATACATTCTTGTGAGGATTAACTCCATAATAGCTGCATCCTTCTCTTCGTTTGGAACGTTCGTTTTTGATGTCTTTCATGATCTATCACTTCCTACGATTATGTCGCCCCGTGTTACGTTGCTAATTTTGTACGGGGATATTGGGTTGCGGATATGACGGATTAAATTAACATCGATCCCACTGATGTATTGGGCGAGCATTCAGTGATATCCGAAACAAATTGAACACAATTGACTTGACAAAGGAAATGGTCGCACAAAGAAGACGCTTCATTATATGATAATTGTCGTGTGCTATTTTTAACACTGCTACAACTAAAAAAGAAACGTTTTAAATCTCAACGTGTCAGCTTGATGATGCAAGTAATTTTTCATATTCGGCTTTCGTTTTTATAGTTTTTTTCTGTGGCAATTAGGATATTCAGAATTACAACAACACACGGAAAATATTCAAAAACTTCAAAACTAAAAAATATTTAAAAATTTATGAGATGCGTACAGTAGATTAACTTAAGAGATAAATTTAAATCAAAAATTAAGCAACAAAAGTGGTTGGATCTTTTCTAGCTCAAAGGTTAAGGATAACTATTTAGCGAGGAAATTTAGCTAGTGTTCTAGGCACCATGCCCCGTGGAGTAGGTTTATTATTATATATTTTATATTGTAAATATTGGATAAATAAATATAAATTTAAAAAAATCATACATAACTATTTTAGTTCTACTTTCTTAAAGGCAACAATAAGACTTGTTTCAGATAAGTTATGTCGCTGACGTACAACAATTGGAAACCAATACGGCTGCACATGTCACACCTAAACGCAGCACAAAAGGTGTAAATAACGCTGGGCTTCCGCTAAACCGATTGTCGGCGAGCGATTGTCAGGCGATGCCATCGTTTCACAGACAATCTACTAGAAACCGGAAACCAATAGGATACTGCTCCGAACATTGTTCAAATGCAACCACATTTAATGGACACCGACGTATTGTATATACACACATTAACTCTCGAGGCTTTTGCCGAGGAGGGTAGGCAGAGGTTAAGGAGTTCCGCAGGGCTTGCAGCTCTTCCCTTTCTTCCATACATTTAATTACAAATCTACTTATAACTTCACTTTTGTCAGTTATGGGTACATATTAGATTGCTGTACGTAATGATATCGATAATCTGGTCGGCGTACGTTCGTCTAAGGTGACCTCGATCGAACTTTCAAGTCACTTTTGCGCCAAAAATTCGTTCTGCGTGCTTTCTTGATTTATCCCTTCTACGCGTTCAAGGTACCGAAAGACTTCTACACGTTTCCTTATATATAGTTTTTATAAACATCGTAATCGTAACAGGTAAATTAATCACTTCTAGTTTAATTCATAAACGTGCTATGCGAAACGATGTCTAGAAATGGATATTGCATTAACTTAATTTAAATTAGCACGCAAAGTGCCGACTTCTACTAATTGATCTTGCGAGTTGATTGAATTGATCTTGATACATGTTTGAAATTTGTTTGTATTGCACCGAATGAAATTGAGGGTACTTATTGTTACAATTAAATATTAAAGCATTTACTTGACAACTTTACTAAACATAGCATATTACAGAAATCACCACCATTTTTATGAATAACATTTATTAAATTTTTTGGTATTTAATGTATAAAAGAATATGGAATCATATATGTTTGTGTAGAACGCTTATCCTAACTATAACACAAAATCGTATTTTAAACTACCTTTATTAATTAACTTGTATATGATTATATATATCCATTAAAGTGAAGCTCATCAAACAATTCTCATGCCCAACTATCTTCAGCACCGTACTCCCCAAATGCCGTACATATTTTAATGAACATAAAAATATTTATGCCTCACCATTAGTCCGCGCTTCATTGGGAATGGAAAAAATAGTCTTACTATCGGATTCCAAGAGTTAAAACAGTAACGATGAGCGAGCTCGCCTTAAAAAAAATTAAGTAATGACAGAATGGGAATTCCTTTTTTAAATAAGTCAATCTGGAAAACTAATTAATGTTTGTAAATGCCTATCTTGAATGTTTAAACTCACAGCTGGATAGCTGTTTTACATAACTATTTATAACAGTTCTTATTTTATCGTTTGTAATCTTGTAATAATAACATATTATGTTATACAAAAAATAAGCAAGGTGGACAACATGAATAAGCAATGCTAATTTATTTGTGCCGTGTTTGTTCAATTCCAAATTTTATGCTATGCCCAGACTTAATAATGTTTTGAATGGCTGTTT